AAGTAGAAAGTGATAAAAACCACAGTTCAGTTAAAATCACTTAAATTGTAAGTGATAAAATATATTCATATTGACTGTGATTTAACAAGAAATAATTTATTCCTTTCTCACGTAAGTGTAGTCTGAAAGTATGCAGTTCAGGGCTCACAAGGCAGCTTCACAAATCTATCAGGGCTGCCTCTTTCTTGGTACTCAGCCATCCTCTGCGTACAGCTTTCACCTCTGGCTCTAAGGTGATTGCTTGAGCTCCAGCTATTACACCCATATTCCAGCCAGCAAGAAGGAAGAAGGATAATGCTCCTGTCTTGGGGAACACTTTCTGGAAGTCACCTTTAACACTTCCAGTTTCATCCTCTGGTCAAGAACTCAGAACATGGCCTCACATAGCTGTAAGAGAACCTGGGGAATGCTGTCTCTATTCTAAATAGCTGTTAAATTTTGGCCCAAACAAAATTTAGGGTTCTGTTTCTAAGATCAAAGGAAAGAATAGATGGTGGGAGTCAGTTAATCTCTGCCACAAACCAGAAATTAAGATGAAGCAGGGACAGACTGCTTCTGTCCGGGTAATCAAGGAAGGCTATCTGAATGAGGTGGGATAGGAGTTACTTCTTTAAGGATTTGGACTTAGGCAGGTGGATGTGGGAGAAATTAATTGTCTAGAACTATGATTTCCAACCTGTGTGCTGGGGTTACCCCAAGACACCACATCATAAAGACTTTGTTGGTTATTTTGATTTTTTGAAGGAAATCCAGAAACGCTCAGCATTTGTTGGTTACCAGATAAAATACTAGCATGATGTAGTTCAGAGTTTCAACATTAAGTTATGCTATATTCCTTTGGATGCCATCCTACCTTCATCAAGCTGGGCTCTTGGTTGCTGCTGCATAAAAAGTTGTATCATGAAAAAGTCCACGTGGAACAGGTGGTAGTTTCCAATCTGATCTCAAGGTCTGAGGGGCTGTTGTGCAGTGCCCAGCAGGTGCATGCATCCCATTAATAAGTAACTGAAGTTAAGAATGACTTGAAAAATATTTAAAAATTTTAATTTATGTGTAGTATTTTTCAAATGGCTACTAAGTTTCCAGGATACAAATATTTGTAAAATTTTTCAACTAATTAAACTACTTAATAAATGGAACTGTTAGGCATTTATTGTGACCTAGGACCACTGAAATAATTACCAAGAATGTCTAGAGATCTCTGATTTAGGGCGTTAGAGTTACAAGGCCACTGTTAACATAGGTGGTATTTTAAAAAGTTTGTTTATATTAAAGTCCACAATGTACTTTTTTGAAACACAAAATTTTTAACTGACTTCAAAGCTTGTAATGGGAAATGTGAGTATGGAATTGAGCTCCTAGTAAAAACTCATTTTATTGGTTTTAGCATATTTTCCCTGGAAGGAAAAGATTTTTACTTCATTTTTTTTACCAAATACATTTTCTCCTTCAAGTGGTTTTGGATGATTCATGAATAGTCTTTGTAAGGCATATATCACTGAAAAAAAGAAGTGGCATACTATATACAGAGCAATTTTCGTTCGGGTGACTTCATCCATTTGTTCAGCAGGTATTAGTCCATTACTGTGTTCAGGTGCCATTCTAGATGCTGGGCATGTCCTCATGCAAAAAGGGTAGTATTCGCATACACATAGAGAGATACAGCTATGTTAGTATTATTTATGCTATCATTATGTCTTTACAGAAGCAGGAATAAATTTGTACACTCTACCTTTATAATCTTATGAGTATTTGTTAGTTATTATAGTTTATATTCAAGGTGCAGTAGTGTTTCAGTTTGACCGTCCCTGAAACTAGTGTTTCCCTTTTTTCTACTAATGTAACACATATACTTTTAATAATTTTTTTCTATTTTAAAGATTATTTTTATTTTTAAACCTTTGTGAAGGAACCATGTTTTACAGCAAAATTAGGCAATTGTGTCTACCAGTTACCAGACAAAATTTATATCAGGTTTCTTTCAGTATGTGCCCTGATAAAGAGATAAAAATATGATTTTCTTAAAGAATTTATATTTTAGTTTTTATCATATAACATTTATATATTTTAAAATACACACATATATAGATATACATTGATGCTTTGTATCACAGGTAAGCAATCTTTTTCTGTAAAGGGCCAGATTATAAATATTTTAGTCTTTGGCCCATATGGCTTTGTTGCCAACGCTCGGTGTTACAGCAGCAAAGCAGCTGTGACAATATACAAACAGATAAACATGGCTCTCTGCCCATAAAACTTTATATTTAAAAATGGGCAGTGGGCTGGGTTTGGCCCATAGGCTGTAGTTTGCTGACCCCTACTCTGTGTATTTAAAATGTAAAATTTATTATGTGGGAGGGTCAACCGACTAAACATGTTTCTTACTTAACCCTACAGAAGGAGTGAGGAGCAAGTGTGTACAGTGCCCAGACACTTGTCCCCACTCTGAATGAGGGTGTTGTGAGAAGAGGTAAGGCTGTTGTCCCTCACATGGCACTGGGTGCCTTAGTGGCTGAACTTCTGTATCTTGTAACCTGTCAACATCTATTTCCATCTCTAAGAATTCGCTGGGTGAGCCTGCCTAGACAGGCAACTGATATCTCCATTCAAATACTTCTGGTTCATCGGCTCTTTGTTAAGTCTTGGCCTTCACCCCAGGAGTCAATTTTCCATCTGAGGGACAGATGGACAGGGATCTCCTTGTTCTTCAGCAGTTTCTGTCATTGCAGCCATGAGATCCCCCTAAGAATGTACCCTGTGTTGATAAAGTCAAATGTTGCAAGAAGATAGAGCAGGATAAAGACTAATGTACCCGAAATATCAACTATGGCCTCCCAGACCTTTGAAATCTTTTAAAAAAGAGACTTGAAACCCCCCACATGCCTGTGGAAGTCCAAAGCCTCCCTCAACCTCCTCCCACCCATTTGACACATGGTTCTCATGATGAGATCTGGTTCCAGGCTCTGAATTTCCTGAATTAGTTCAGTTTGGGGATCGTTTCTCATGTTGACTTTCTCATCGCTCAGTGATACACTGCCTCTTTCTCACGCTGGTCATCCTGTGGGGAACAAATTAGGGAGCACAAGAATGGATATAGGTAAACAAGACAAGAGGAGGCATTTGCAGGATTCCTGGGGAGACATGATGGCCATTTTTACTAGAATGCAGGAACAATGAGGCTGGAGATTTTTGCTTTGCACACTGAGGTATATGAGATGCCCAAACAATGGCTGACACATGATAAGTGCCCAATTACCTTTTCCAGAGACAGAGGGCTCTGGAAGAATACCAGATATGGGACTGAAGAATATTTATTTTGTTTCAGACATATTGGGTTTGAGGTGTTCTTGCAAAATCCACTGAGGAGATGTCCAATGGCCAATTGGATACAAAGATCTGGAGCTCAGAGGAAAGGCCTATGTTTGCTATTTAAAGATGTAAGTCACATGTGTAGGGGTGGCAATTGATGCATTTGTATGGGTGATATTATGGGGAGAGAGTGAATGTGAGACAAGAGCTTACAGAAAGAGAAGGGATGACTGGAGAAGTAGGAGAAAGAGGAAGAGGAAGAAAGAGGAAGAAAGCGCTTGAAGGAGATGGGAGTGGCTAGCTGAAAATTTTGTCTCTGAAATGATACTGAGATGTCATTACAATGATGTCTGAAAAACGTCACTCGGATATAGCAATATGGAAGTCATTGGTAACCATAGCAAAAGCTATTTTGGTGCAGTGACAGATGTGGGTGCCAAACTGTGGTGGCCACATGAGTAAACAGTAAGTGAGGAAATTTGGACAATAACTATTAACTCTCAGAGGATTTTGGATGAGAAAGAAGGAGAGAGGTAGGACAGTGGCTGAAGTAGGATATAGTCTTGAGGATGGGTAAAAAAAAACAAAGCCCCAAACCAGAAGAGATCTGAGCATTGCGTAAAGTTGATGGCAGTGTTACAGGAGAGAGAGAGAGAGAGAGAGAGAGAGAAATGCTATTAAACACTAGGCACTGGGAGTAGATGATATAACTTGAAAAGGGATTCAGGAGACATTACACAGAGGTTGTAGTTCAAGCCCTGAAACTGTGAGAGAAGAACATGCAAGAAGAGTCAGAAGTCCAAGAGGGAACCATGAAAAATGCCTCACTAAAGCAATGTGAAAAGTCGCTCATCCTGCGTATTCAAGTCACTTTCAATTGCATCTCAGACTCCTGTTGAAAAGGTCATTGCACAAAGCTAGCCATTTGCAATAAATGAATTTCCAGACATTATTTCTGGCAAGACCTTGAACTAAGCAAAATTTAACGTATTTGAAGATGAGACCTTTATCTGAACCATTGCTGTTGCACCTCCTCAGCCCTCACAAAGGGACGGGCAGCAGGGGCAGCGTGGTCAGCGCAGAGGGTCCTGGGGGATCGTCTGTGTTTAACTGGCCAGCAGGACAGGCTCTTTTTCACTGTTCAACTTGTCACTACATACATGGTCACTAATATTAAAACTTGCTGAATTATTAATGGCTGAAAACTTATTTTATCCAGATTCATGCAGATTTGGGTTAGGACAAATAAGATGAACAACAGTGAAGTCTGGATAGTGTCTTGTCTACACCTACTCACCAATATATTATCACAGTACTAGGCAGTCTTTGCTTATAGCTCTGGTCCAAGGTGAGCTCTTGCCATAGTTATTTATGGTCCTTTGGAATAATACCAAATCGGCAAATACGTTTAAAAAAATCAAGATGGAGTATCATTAAAAGGTCATGCACTTCTGAAAAACATTTCAGAAAGAGATGATTTGCTCTGCCCTGAATGTGGTTGTACCGTTATTTGCTCATTTATTAGCGTGATTCGGCGACTAAACCTGATTTCATGTTCTAAAGTGCACACGGTGAAATCTCTTAGGGATGCTGCTGCTTTGAATGGATGGCTGAACTCTGCAATTTCATGCCATGGATCGGGTTACTTTGTGATATTAAAACCATGTTTCATCTTTCTTTTCCTTTAGGTCTTGGGAGCTGATGAAGATAATAGGGGTGATGGCTGCTCTCAGCAGCTGGCGACGGCTCATATTCTCCGTTTCCTGTTGCTGGTTCTGATCCCCTGTATTTGTGCTCTCATTGTCCTGCTGGTCATCCTGCTTTCCTTTGTTGGTGAGTGTTACCGTTATTGAGGAGAAATGAAGTCAATATTAAATGTAGCATGATTTATAAGAGTGATTTCTACTTAGTACTTATTTTACCTGAAATATCAACTCAGTAAGAAGGTTATCTGTTGACTATCTTACGCAACTCTGCAGTTTTAAACACTGTAGTTGTGCTCTTAGTTATTATGATTCATATTAACTCCTGTATCAGTTGATTCAAAGCATTTAAGGAGTGATTGATTACCAGGTAGCAGAAATGTTGAACATCCCTGAAAACTCAAGGATGTTTAAATTAGTCATTCTTTCTCAGGAACTCACAGTTGAGAGGAAGAAATGATTGTCGCACAAGGCCACACACATTGATGAGAGAGGTGTATGTAAGGTGCTCTGGGGGCAGTCAAAAAAGCTACTATTTAAGGGAAAGACAAAGAAGTGGGAAGGAGTAAGAGGTACAGAAAGAAAGGACAGAGAGGAAGGAAAGGAACTGGAAATGCTGGGTTTCACAGAAGGCAAGGGAGGAGAGATGCATCAGAAGTCAGAGGGCAAAAGGCAGAGGAGGCCGGAAGAAATGCGTCCGCCCAGGAGGACTGCAGGTTTTCCGCTGGGGTTGTAGCTGCCCTGCCTACGTGGTGTCATCTGTGGCCTGTTCTTAGGCGAAGGGCAGGAAAAAAGCCCTGAAACTCATCTCTACCACTTTCTTCTTCCAAGACGCAACCCCTCTCCAGATTGGCCTGCTTTTGCTTCCTCTCCATTGCCCTCCGGTAGCTCCTTTTTTGTGTGTTTTGTCCAGAGTTTATAGTTGTTCCCTCTGGGAAGGTCTGTTCGGTAGAAGCTCCCTCAGTCATACCACTGTCATTTAAAACACTTCATTCTCATACTCTTGTGTTCTGTGGCTCGCACACGTTGGAAACTATTTTCTTTCACTCTCAGGGTTGAATATAAGTTTGAAACGTACTTTTAAATATCTCAGTGTGAAGAGGCCTCTAAGCAGAGGAGGGATGTTATTGAAACAGTGCTTTAAGTAGGTTATTATGTGTTTATTTATTAATTTGTAAATACTTTTTATAGCTTTTTTGAAATATAATTCAATAGCTTTTAGTGTATTCACAGATAAGTATGTCACCAAAATCCGTTTGGGAACATTTTCGTTATCACAGAAAGGAACCCTGTGCCTGGTCGCTGTCACCACCCCCAGCCCTTCCCTTCTGCCCTGTGCTAAGCAGCCACTAATCTACTTTCTGTCTCTATAAGTCTCACTATTCTGGACATTTATTTCATATGACCACATGTGATTTTTGTGACTGTTTTCTTTCACTTGGCATAACATTTTTAAGGCTCATCCATGTTGTAGGATGTGTTAGTACTTCCTTCCATGCCATGGCCAAATAATATTTCATTGTGTAGACATAAGACATTTTGTTTCCCTATTCATCAATTGATGGACATTTAAATTATTTCTATCTTTTAGCTATTTTGAATCATGTTGCTGTGAATATCATGTGCAAGTTTTTGTGTGGACATGTTTTCATTTGTCCTGGGTTTATACCTGGTAGTAGAATATTTTCACTTACGTGTGGGATTAGAAGGGGCACCAATCTACAGCCATTTAAAATTTTTTCATCTTTCATTTACAGCTGACATACAATATTATATTAGTTTCAGGTTAGTTGTAATTTTAATGTGGTTGTGGGAGTATACTGGTACCATGTTCTTTGCTCACTGTCTTGACTGGAAGAAGTTAAAATCTGTAACCATTTTTAAGTGCTCTTTTGGCTTATATGCAGGTACCCTTTAGAAAGTGGAAGTTTTCCAGACATCTTCTTCAAAAGTATTCTTTTTGTAGTTCTGCACCGGTTGGTTTGATATAGATATATTGAAGTAATATCTGCCCAAATAAACAGTTCCTATTTTATAACCGATAGGTTTGTTGTTGTAATGAGCAATAACATCACTTTATATCTTTGTTTAAAAACCTCATTAAATTCTGCTTACTTTTAAAAATGTTCTGTTTGGTTTGGGTTTATAACTCCCTGCTCTTTCAAAGTTTTGCAGCTATTTCTGGGTCCGTAATGGTTGCTAAGGGGTGCTGGAATGTTAATTGTGTAGAAAAGGAGCTCTGGCTTCAGAAGTCAGAGGTAATAGAGGATTATTGATTAGGAAAAGGTAATGAAAGCCCTACGCTAACAAAAACAGGTCTTTAATTTTGTCCATTTGGGCTTCTGTCATGCATAAAGTCAAGAGGGTCAAGAGATTTCTGAAGATAAAAGAGCTGGACTTTATGAGTAGTTATTTCAGCAATGGGCTATAGAAAAGAGCAGTGGCAAATTGTTTCTCACCTCAGCCCCCGAAACTGAAGTTGGAGCTGTAAATGTTTAGTTTGGTTTTGTATTTCTAAAATCAGCAGATAGTCTGAGCTGTCTGTATGATTTCAAAGACTTGGATTCTAAAATAAGGGTTCAAGTTTTTGGAAGAAATTGAAAGGAAAATTAAAGAGTAAGAAAACTACACTATTATACCTAGGTTTTTATTTCTTAAGTTACAGTCTAATACTGAGGCTCTATGACATCAAAGAAAGAACTCATACCTTGACACAAGGAGCCCTGGGTTTAGCAGCTTAGTCTCCTATTTACTGGAGGTGTGACTTTTAGGTAACACACTTTACCTTCTCTGTGAAATGGGGGTATGGTTCTTACGTGTTTCACAGGAATGTCATGGGAATCAAATGAAGTAATATTTGTCAGTGTTTTTATAAATGACAAAATTCATTATGAAGGTAAAGAATTAGTTTTTGCTTGTAAATATTACTAAATCAAATAATCATTTTAATAAATAGTTCTATTTTACTTAAAATGGACTAAAATGTGTTTATCTTATTTTAACTCCATCCATAAGAATTAAAACCTTTTTACTCCGACCCATAGTCCTAGTAATCCTATAATCCACAACCTCATAATCCCATAAGTCAAGCCATTGCCACAGTATATTTTAATTGCTGGTAAAGTAGCTAGAAAGGAGTACAGTTGACTGACTATTGGATTTGCAATGCGATGACAAGTTTCACACGACTTTTTTCCTGAGACCTGAGAGTTACTTTCAGAAGCTAATTCACTTCTAAGAGCTAAACCGGCGCCTGGTTGTACTGCCATCACATGACTAGAAGGGTCAGCTTACACCATGGAGCACTTTATCAGACACTGAACTGATATCTACCCTAAATTATATTAATGTCTATATTCTATATTGCATTAACAACGTTAAAAGTAAAATTATTTTGATATATTGAGAAGCATATGTGTAACAAATACAATAACAGATATAACTGATACCTATCATTCCTTGCACACACATTTGCTGAGTGCCCGTTATGTGCGAGGCAGTGCCCTCTAGGCATTGGACACGGCTGGAGTGAGGCCTTTCCTCGTAGGCTCTGCAGTGCAGCGAGGGAGGGGGGTGCTAAACGAAAGTCCCATAATCAAGTCATTACACCAGAGGGAACTCCTGTGTGGGAAGAAATCGTTACTAGGAGAGTTTCTGACACGGGACTGAGCCAGATCTGAGGTGAGGGAAGTCTGCCCTGAGGGAGTGCGCTTTAAACGTTACCTCCATTCTGAGGAGGTTGGAGTGGCGGAGTGATGTGATCGATGTGGTCTGACCTTTTAAAAAGTGCCTTTGTTCTAATCCCCGTACCTCCCTCCCCAAAGAGATGAAAAGATTAAGAAGTACAAATTAGTAGTTACAAAATAGTCACAGGGATGTAAAGTACAGCATAGGGCATATAGTCAATAATATTGTAAGAACTCTGTATGGTGTCAGGTGGGTACTGGAAATATCGGGCAGAATACTAGGTATAGGATTGTCTAACCATTATACTGTACACCTGGAAACAATACAAAATAATAGTGAAAGGAAACTGTGATAGAGAAATAAAAATTAAAGTTAAAAGAAAAGGTGCCTCTGGCAGCTGTAGAGAAAGGGTGTGAACAGTGTGTGGCAGGGAGAAAAATGGGGGGTTATTACAAGAGTCCTACAAACGTGGTGTCTGGGGGATGGTCTACATGGAAGTCTGCAAACTATTGTTCATCTCAATTTAATTTCGCCACAGTTATGGTCCAAAAAATCTCATTAGAATGAGCCTAGCTTCCCCCGCCCCCCCCAGGCTGCTGAAGACTTGGTTTCAAAGGCTCTTCCACTCATCCACATCGAAAATAAATTTTCTTTGTTTTAGCTGTAAACTTATGAAGAATGGCCTAATGTGACTGTCCTAGTTTTCTTAATACTATGAAAAGTCTATGTGTGGCCTGTTAATTTTTCATTTTTGTCACGCAATAAAGAAGAAAGAAAAATTATAGTGGTGGAGAGTATATGAAACACGGTAAACAGCCCATTTTTCTTGAACTCAAGAAAAATTGTCTTCAAAAGTGACTTTCTTCTTCAAAAATGCTAGATGGGCTGGAGGTAATTGAACTAAAATATAGTTATCTTAGCAAATTTCTTAGCAGCTTGTGGCTTTTACAAGAATTTGGAATTATAAGAATCTTAACATCTAACTTATGATGCTGTATTTTGAATATCATTTAAAAATGGAAAACCTCCCACATCTTTATTTCCATACACACAAATTTTATGATATGTTATGACCTGACTCTACATTTCTTATTTAAATCTACCAATTTCTTTAATAACCCTACCCCTTGTTGTACAGTCTCAACAACACAGACTTCTCAAACTTAAGAATATTTTTTCTTTAGCTACTCAGGCCTGAGGTTATACCTAAAGTCTAAAAGTTTTTGAAAAGGTGGTTGAAGAAGGCCTTGTATTCAAAGTGTGGTGCATGGATGAGCCACACCAGCATCACTTGGGAGTCTGCGTGAAATGTGGAACCCGGAATGCTGGGCCCCTTCCATACCTGCTGAATTTGCATTCTCACAAGATCCCCAGGTGATTTCTACACTTTCATTCAGACAACCCACTGCAGTCTGATATTCCCCTTTTCATCCTGGTAAATCT